ATAAACGAATTTCGGAAAAGGTTTAGAGAGCCTTTAATGAGATGAAAAAACATTTTGCAAAAACGTCGAGGATGGCGGAGCAAACTCGCATCGTACACATATGAAGCGAGACCACTACCACTATGCCACGTCGGCACTTGATAAGGAGGCGACGAGTTCGCATATCCAAATAATACTACCGTCAAGCAATTTTCTAGCCCCCATAACTTTTTAAGGAAAACCATTTAGCAGTTTTAGTTTCCATTTTCGTAAATAGCATTCAAAACTCTATCGATTTATCTGGGTCTCCATTCAAAGTCCCACGGTAAGTAGACTACCCCTCCCTGGTGAGTACTGTGCACTGTATTTTGCACTGTTTCAAGCAGAAAAGTTATGACTGACTCGCAACTCGTCGACCACACAATTCACCGAACGACGTCCTTAGACTATCGCGTTCGAATCATAAAGTGCGAAGTAGGAAGGCGGACATGCATTACACCGACGCTATGCTTTCATACTTTCATGAACCGATCAACCTCTTAATCCTTTTCCTTTACCTATAGGTTTTCGGTAAAAAAAGCGAAATAATTCTACTACTGCATTCTCTTTGATTCTCATTAACAATGAAACATAGACTCTCCTTTGTCTCTCTTAAAGGTCACGAGTGATGCCTCTCACATTTCAGGCTTCTGATGCATCATTATAGAGAGCATATCTCGGCGCACTCTATTCCGTCAACATATTACGAAAGATGAAAGAAAAGAAAATGAAAGAGTCGCAGGGGACATAAATAAGATAATGAGAATTGCGATGGCGTTGTGTTCTTTTACAGGTCAGGTTAGATAACCATACCACAAGAGGAAAAATCTTAGTTTGAAAAAGAAAAGGTAGAAGTAGGAGGCAACCCAATGTAAGGTAGCTTCATGTTCATCGCTCGCTACAGGGTGCGCCAAAATTACTTGCTCAAAGTTGCAGATTTCGACCTAATGATTTAATGCAGCGAGGTTCTCTCGATTAGCCGTGAACATGTTGAGCACTTCTTCCTTGATCATTAGCACA